CATCACCACATTAGCACCGTAACTTTTGTATCTGACCCGTTCGTCGCCAACCGGGTCTTTTTATACCTTTATGCCAGGCTAACTGACTCGATCCGTGTTATGTACTTATGTTCTTACATATGTATAAAGAAAACTAAAAAGAAAAACCGCTGTTTGGAACAATCACACACCCACACTCCCTTAACTTTCGTTTTACCGAGCACTCCGAAATTTCTCTGAGTACCATATCATTAACGTTTGACCAACTGTGTTCGATCAAACATCCATGACCGCCTACAGGCACATTTGGTCAACATAGATGTTTGATCACACTACCTATGCACGTATGTTCGATCCACGTACCCACATACATATACACTCTGCTAACATAGATGTACGATTTACTTATGTTTGGTCCACTTCTTCCACACATACATGCACATACAGAAGTATCTGGCAAACAGCTGGCGCTACAGGTATGCCAAACTTAAAAGGTGATCGCACGCGGCGATTTTCCGTTCAACTTTTGCGTTCAACTCACGCAGGGTTGCACGGAAAAAAAGTGGAATTGCTAAATGTTGGCTGGCGACCAACTTTGTTGAAAGCGATTAGTTCATTCCTTTGGGTACTGCTTATGAATTTGTACAACGATTTGGGTTGCTGTGCCCAAACGCGTGAATCGAATCAAAAAACTTTTACACACACTTGTAGACAACAGTTCACGCTTTATTACAAAAATTTAATTTACTAAATCTGTGCACTAATGTAAGATCGGTTTAATAAAAAGACCACACGTTATGCTCAAGAAAATGGTATATTGTCTATATTCTGTTTTACTTCAGTGGTTGTGAGTTATTATCGATAATTACATTAGTGTCACCATACACTATACTATTGATTTCTGCGTACTCATACATCACATGAGTGGACTTTACGTTACATCCCTCTTTTTTTATAAAAAATCTAAGTGTTTAATTTATGTATGTAATCAGTAATTTAATTAATTAAATTAAATTAATAATAGAGACAATGAACATTTTTGATTGCATTGGCGAAAACTAAATTTGAGTTTTACAGTTAATTCATCTTTGTAAATTCAGTATTGAGTTCAGTATTTTACTATTCAGTTCTAGGTTTAATATTAAGTAATATTTACGATTACAAGTTCAATCTCAATGGTGGCTTCACGATTCTCCCTGATCTTGTGGAGAGTTGCAAAGGAGGCTGAGCTGCTTTTACAGGCAGAGTTACTGTCGGATTGATAGCTTTTCCTGTAGTTTCCAAGTCGATTCTTGGCCTTTGCTGAGAAGATGGTGTTGCTTGAGGCTGGTCGAATGTTGCTTCGCGATTAGTTGGTGAGGCTTGGCACATTTCCGTAGTTGTGTGAGGTACTATTACTTTTTCTGGGATAGGCAGTTTAGCATCTGTTTTGCGTACCCAAGATGTATTCCTCCTGAATATGCGGCCGTCATCCAATTGAACTAAAACCGATCTTGGATTATTTTCGTGATTTTTTACTATTTTACCAGTTGATCAATCTCTGTGTGCCGTTTTCATTCGTATGTGCTTATGTTTTCAGCTTTCACTGTGCTTCTATTAGCATATGACGTTTGTTCTTCTCTTAAAATCTTTAATCTATTCGCAACACCCTCTATTGTCTTAGGCTGAAGATTTTGATTTGAGGTTGGAACTTGTGAACGCGTGATTCTACTGCATAGTTTTTGGTTTGGGGAACCTAAGATTGGATCTCTAGGAGTATTATTCCAGTTGAGTAGTGCTAGCCGATAGTCTGTATTGTCGAGGCTACACTTTCGCAATATATTTTTTACCAACTGAACTGCTCGTTCTGCTAATCCGTTGCCTGAATGTAGCGGACTGGACGTGCGATGACTAAAACACCAGGTTGTTGCAAAATCTTCAAATTCTTTGCTTTCGTATGATGTGTCGTTATCGTTTTCAAATATTTCTGGAACTCCGTGGACATAGAACCAATTTTTGAGGTGCTCTATTATTTCTTGTGAAGTTTGATTTGTAAGTTTTTTCAAGTCAGTGTAGTTTGAATAACTGTCTGTAATTACTAGATACGGATCATTTTTGAAATACAATATGTCTGATGCTACTATTTGCCACGGAAGGGTGGGTATTTCTCTTATTAAAACCTCTTCCTTATCTTTAGCTCTTTGTGTTTTTTCACAGACCGGACAGCTTTTAACCATTTCTAGAATATCACTGTACTGACCTTTCCAATAAAGTCCTTGTCTTGCTCTTTTGAGACAACTTTGTATACCAAAATGTCCTGTGTGTATTGCTTTCAGCATTTTTGAAATTAATTTCTGCGGTACTATAATTTTATCGCTTTTAAATACGATGCCGTTGTGGTAAGCTAGTTCCTCCCTAAAGTTATAGTAGTGTCTAACTCCCGCTGGAAGCTTACCACTTTCGTCAGGGAAGCCTTGTAAGATGTATTTAATTAAAAGCTGCAGTTCTTCATCCTCGGCTGTTGCTTCCGTAAGCTCTACTGTGGCTTTCTTAGACATTGACACGACGATCATCACTTCTAACGTTTCATTTTCGAGAGTTTCGGTGGGGTCGTGATTACAATCACGACTAAGGGTGTCAGCTATGGGTATTTCCTGACCTTTTTTATAAACCACTTTAGGGTTGTATTGTATAACGTCGAAAATTATTCTGCGCAATCGAGCTGGAGCTACGTCAATACTTTTTTAAAAAATAGTCTCCAAAGGTTTGTGATCTGATTCAATGGTTAGATCTTTGTCACAAATGTATTCGTGAAACTTTTGACAAGCAAATTTTATTGCGAGGGCTTCTCTTTCTATTTGCGGGTAGTTTTGCTCTGATTTTGTCAATGCTTTTGTGGCATATGCCACTGGGTGCCCGTCTTGCATTAGAACGGCTCCCACACTTTTTGAACTTGCATCTGTCGAAATAAGTACTGGTGCATTGACATCAGTTTTAGTACAGGAGCTTGTGTTAGTAACTTCTTAATTTTTGTGAACGCTTGTTCCTGCTTGAATTCCCATATGAATTCAGATTCCTTTTTTAATAAATCTCTCAATGGCTCTGTAAGCTGCGACATATTGGGAATAAACTTGTTCAAGTACGTTACCATACCAAGTAATCTTTGAACTTTATTGGTTGGATTTTTGAGAAGTTTTATCGCTTCAATTCGATCTGGATTGGCTTCCATGCCATCAGCTGAGACTATGTGCCCAAGGAATTTCAGTCGAGTTGCTTCAAATATGCATTTTTCTTTATTTAGTTTCAATCCGGCTTGAAGAAGAGTATTTATGTCCTGTTTTGTAGTATTTTTTAATTTTTCTCGATTTTCAGCGTGGATGAGGATGTCATCCATGGCAACTTCTGCATTTTCAAAATTTTTTAATAACTCCGTCATTATTTCTTGAAAAACTTCTGGTGCTGATACTACGCCAAAGGGGAGGCGCAAACAAGAATACCTTCCCCATGGGGTTCCAAATGTCAAATAGCCTTGTCTTCTTTTCGACACTTTTATTTGCCAAAACCCTCTTCTTAGGTCGAGCAGTGTAAAATAACGAGACTTTGCTGGTAATTGTTTGGTATTCGAAGATTCTATTTTTCCTTTCACTTTTTTTACTATGCTTTCCGGCAACACGTTTCACTGTGCCCCAGTGTCTAATTTGATATCGAATTTTGTTGAACCAACGTTCACTGATTCAACCCAGTCTTCTTCAATGTTAGTAGTCAGTGTTCACACATATAATGTTTCATCCATTTCGGAATTGTTATTAAGCGCATCTACCTTTTTGTTTTTCCTTGCATCTATTCTTGTTGAGCACTGTGACGCGAAGTGATTTTTTTTCTGGCATTTTCTGCACGTTTTTCTGTATGCCGGGTACGATCTAGGCTTATGTGTTGTACCGCACCTCTTGCACTGAAACTTCTTGTCCGCTTAATTGTCGCCAGTGTTTTCATTCTGGTCAAAAAATCGTCGAATAGCTCACTCCCGTTTTGTACCGCTTTGAAAAAGTTGAATCTTTCAAATGACACGTTCAATTTGGGGTTAAAATAGTTTGCAAATTTTTCTTTTATTACGCCAATGTTTTTTGACTCCTGTTCGGACAAACTGAAACTGTTGTATATATTTAACACCTCCGATCCTAGCTTGCCATTAACGTTGCTGCTTGAATTTCGTCTGATTTCTTATTCAGTTGGATAGCTGTTGCATACCAATCGAATTGCTGAATCCATTGCTTCCACGTGGTGTGCATGTCACTCGTTAAGGTTAGATTTTTTGCAGGTTTGATACCTGAGACTCCACCAGTCTCTACACCTGCGTCGTTTGTGCTATTCGGCATTTCTTTACTTTTTTTTTTTGTTTTACCCAATTCTTTTTAACTTTCTTTAAAATTATTTTACACCATGTAAGATCGGTTTAATAAAAAGACCACACGTTATGCTCAAGAAAATGGTATATTGTCTATATTCTGTTTTACTTCAGTGGTGGTGAGTTATTATCGATAATTACATTAGTGTCACCATACACTATACTATTGATTTCTGCGTACTCATACATCACATGAGTGGACTTGACGTTACAACTAATTTAACAATAATGTCGGTTGGAAATATGGTATTTGTTGCAAATTTTTGTTATAAATTTGTATACACATTTTTATATACAAGATATTTTTATAAAACACCCAGTAACCAAAATAGACATCACTGGGGCGGCAGCCCCAGGTTTACCACACAGAAAGGGAATTCTAGTTACCTCATCTTTTCCCAAGGCTATATCACTGGGGCGGTAGCCCCAGTTATGTCACACAGAAAGGAGAATTCCACGTAATAAGGGTTTTAATCCCTAAGCGCGACCGAAGGCCGCCTACGCAGAAAGGTGTTCTCTGCAAAAGGTGTTCAGCCCCCCTTCTTCGGACGCAAGTTTAACTTTGTTCTTTCCTTGCAAAAAATCTAAAATTCCCCTATTTTCAAACAGCTCCCCAGAGGTCTGTGGGAGGGGTTGGGGGGGTGAGGGGTGACTTTTCATAAAGCGGCGTCAATCCTCTTTCGTTTAGGGAAGATACGTGGGCCCACACCCCGTCCCCCTCCGCCCCACCCCTAAATCGTTGTACAAATAGCTAAACATTTCCCATTCCTTTTTCATCTACGAGTGGTGGTGGACGTGTTTGGCGTGATTCTGCAACCTAGTGAAATTTTCTTTTGCGCACTTGCACATATATGTATGTGCATACAGTAAAATATTTTTCTCTTTGTAAGCAGCTGTACTCTGACATAGTACAGCAAACAGCCGTGTGGAAATACACGTTCCTTTTTGGACTACTACATTTTTGGCGTCAAATAATTGGAAAATAACGTGTTAAAAGGTTTTAATTTGATAGAGGACACCAATTTCTGTGTCAAAGCGGGAGTCAGGTGAGTGATCTTGTTTTTCGAGTAGTGAAGGTGAAGTCAAATTTTGTGTATAAAGTGTTTAAAAAAGTAAAAGTCTGCCGCGAACGGCACCAAAAAAATCCCCAGCCGTCATGGCGACGTCGACTCTAAGGTCGATGGCGTCATCGGCTGAGGATTTCGAAGCATTCTCTAGTGCCAATATGGTCAATACGGCCAAGGGAAAACGCTCCAAAAAGGCCACGGGGTCTAAGATAGCTAAATACCTAAAAAATAATGATTTAATTAAACTAACTAACATGAGTGTAACAAGGGAGGTTAGGTCAGATGACATTAGTGAAAACGAAATGGACATGCAGTGCGATAACGGGAGTTTGGCGGCTACGGAAATTCCGTTAGTGGCGTCAGAAAACGGTAGGGATACAGTGACGGTGCCTAACATTAATACAGTTGCCAATGAACGCTTAACGATGACCACTGATACAGTGGAGGTAGCAGACAATCGGACAAATGCTAATGAAAATGTATTCATGACTACTGATACAGTGGAGGCTAACAACAACAGTACAAACCTAAATGAGGATTTAACTCTATACCCAGAAAATTTTTCTTGTGTTTATTTGGTCTTAGTAGACTCATCTAAATGCAATGATATGTACAATGAAAAAATTACAAATGGTTTAACTCTCTTTAATAAAATAAAACGCCTGAGGATAAAAGATCTTGATTTGATCTATGCAATTGGTAAAAGTCTTTATAAAGTCACTTTTAAAAATGCCGCTGCGGCAAATAACTTTGTCTTGAATGATAAAGTCAAGGACATGGGTCTAAGAGCCTTTGTTCCGAAAACAGCGGTTGAAACTTATGGTGTAGTAAGGGGTATTCCTACATGGAGTGAGGACGGTGATATTAAGGCTTACGCCATATCCAGCGTACCCATATCTATGGTTAGACGCTTCACGCGTAGAAACCCAGAAAATGATTCTTACATTCCCACAACCACCATCAAAATTGGCAAAGAGATTCCAAAATATATAATTTTTAACCATACTAAATTAAATGTTGATTTTTACATACCACCCCTCAGACAGTGCATGAACTGTGGGAGGTTAGGGCATACTCGCTTCTCATGTAAATCCAAAAAACGGTGCATCAAATGTGGTTTAGTGGCCTGTGACAGCAACTCTTGCAACAAAAAATGTATTCTATGCGGCAGTGTAGAATACGAATCCTCTGACAAAGTAAATTGCATGGTATGGGAAAAAGAACGTAATTTTAATTATATTAGAACGGTGAAAAACATATCGCGGCGGGAAACAATACAAACATATTTTGCGGGAATTCAAAATCGTTTCGACCTTCTTCAGGTAGAAGATTCCGAATTCCCAGAACTCACTGTAAACAATGGTAATGAAGTTCGAAACCGTGATTTAGTGACCAATAAAAAACTCACTCGAGTCAAATACAGCACTATGGCTAAAAAGTTGATTACACCAAAAAATGATAAACCTACAAAATCAATGCAAGGAAATAGTAGAGAAAACAGAACCAAAGTTGCCAGAGAAGCCGTTTTTAACAGGCCAGAATATTTAAAAAATAAAGTGACCGAAATGGAAAAGCTTCTTACAGATCTTTTCAGCATCATACAAACTGCGTGTGTGAATAACCAACTAGGCGAAGTTACTAACAAAATTCAATCGCTAAAAGAAAAATTTGACCAGCAAATGATTCAAGAAGAGGTAGAAATAGTGACAAATAGTATTGATAACTCCTTTGACAGATGACAATGAAAATTTTACAATACAACTGTCAATCCCTTAAAGCTAATATAAACACAATTGAATATTATTTGAACAACCATGACTTCGACGTAGCGTGTCTTACAGTAGCTACACACGACGAACATATCCGCGCACATGCGCGGCTTGCGGGTCATGCTCGTCGTTTGTAGGGCGGTTTGCGCGCATGCTCGCCAAAAATCAAAAAATTTTGATTTTCAGCGAGCATGCTCGTCGTTTGTAGCGTGGTTTGCGAGCATCGCATTGGAAACAAAAACAACAACCTCATTTTGTGTTGATGCTTGCAGTGTGCACATCGCGGATAAATGCATCCAAGCCATGTGCGTTAATTGAATTTTTGATAAATGAGGCTAAATTACTATATGTATATGTATGTACATACATATAAGTAAAATATAAATAAATTTAAGTAACACATACATAAAAAACCCTAAGTCATAAGTATTTCAATTGCATCATCCGCGTCTTTCCTTTCCATGTTTACGCTTTGAGTACAAAATCACTTATGAGCCGCTCGCCGTTTGTAGCAAACGACAGCCAGCATGTTGGCGCACATGTGCGCGGATATGCTCGTCGTGAGTAGCTACTATTAGTGAAATATTCAGTTCTAATGAACCTCACTACAGAAACATCATAAATTATAATATTATAGAAAAAAATAGTGACGACGGATATGGCGGGGTGGCCATTGTTCTTAAAAAACACATTAAGTATCAAAAAGTCAACTTTGTATCCAATTTTGACATACTTATAGTTCGCACCAAAAACTCAAACCCTAATCTGGTGATTTGCGCTGTTTACTTTCAGCCAAATATACCCATTGCTGATTTTAAAGGTGAAATAAATAAACTTCTGAGCTTTCTCGAAAACCATGAAAATGTGTTGATCCTGGGCGACTTTAATGCTAGGGCAAGAGTGTGGGGAGATAGTGTCTCATCCTGTCGTGGGAGTAACCTCCAAAATATCATTGAAGAACACAACTTCTCGCATCTGAATGATTGTTCGCAAACTTACAAAAATGATCTTCTAGCTTCCAATGGCTCTGTTCTTGATCTAAGCTTTACAAACAGTTGCATTCCCTTCCAATGGAAGACTGACCCAATCAGATTGGGTGGAAGTCACCATTTTCCTATAGTTATTGAATCAGCTAACATTACTATAGTAGGTCACAGATTTCTCTCAAAAAAAAAAAACTAATTAACAATCTTCGACAAATAAATTTTGAACCAAATGGTGATGATATACACTCTAAATTTCAAGCCGAGATAGTAGAAGCTACTCACACTCTTAGCCCCAATAGAAGCCCTAAAGCATGGTGGAACGAATCCCTTGACAAACCCTCAGATTTTTAAAAATAGCCATTAAAAAGTGCAAAACAATGCCGTCCCCACAAAATTTTCAAGAACTGCTTTTGATTGCAAAAAAGACTGGAAAGACAAAGTCAAAGAAGCGAAAAAAAGCTTTGAAAACAAAATTAAGGCACTAAATGACGCCCCGTCGACTAAAGACGCTTGGAGATTTGTAAAAGCCCTAAGAGGAGATTACCAAAATAGAAATACTTCCCAGTGGTCTTGTGATAATGACAAGGATTTTCTAACTCTGCTTAAAAATCAAGTTCCTTCTCACAACTACACCATGCCAATAAATAAGGAAATTCTGCCCGTCCATAGCTTAGCCATAACCTTTGAAGAACTGTACAATGTAATTCACGCTAAAAAAGGCCTTTCAGCCGGTGGCAGTGATTTGGTTACCTATAAAATGCTTCAATCCATATCTGATGAAGCCTTAAATAATGTCCGCACTGCGCTTAATGATGCTTTCTTAACCAATCAAATTCCGGATAGATGGAGGAATATCAAAATTGTCCCTATACCCAAAAAAGATAAGGATTTAACCAATTACGCAAACTTTAGACCAATTGCCCTTATCTCTGTGTTTATCAAATGCATTAACATCTGCATAAAAAACAGACTATCCAACTTTCTTGAAGAACAAGAATTGTATCCTAAACTTTCCTTTGCATATAGAAGGAGGAAGTCGGCTACGACATGTATCAACTATTTGCTACATGATGCGGCGGTGCTTATAACTGTGTTAATGTTCGTAAACTCAAAGAGATCATATCTCTGGCAGGTATACATAGCACATATATTGAATGGATTATAAACTTCCTTTCTTTCAGAAAATTGCAGCTTGGTAAAGAATCAAATGAAATTCATGATGGCCTTCCTCAGGGTAGCAGCTTATCTCCTTGCCTCTTTAACCT